AGAAATAAAGTCTGTCACTGTTTCCACTGTTTCCTTATCTATTTGCCATGAAGTGATGGGACCAGATGCCATGAGCTTAGTTTTCTGAATGTTAAGTTTTAAGCCAACTTTTTCACTGTCCTCTTTCACTTTCATCAAGAGGCTCTTTAGTTCTTCGCTTTCTGCCATAAATGTGGTTTCACTGTATATCTGAGCTTATTGATATTTCTCCTGGCAATCTTGATTCCAGCTTGTGCTTCATCCAGCTTGGCAATTCACTTGATGTATTCTGCATATAAGTTAAATAAGCAGGCTGACAATATACAGTCTTGACATACTCCTTTCCCAATTTGGAACCTGTCTGTTGTTCTATGCACAGTTCTAACTGCTGCTTCTTAACCTGTGAACAGATTATTCAGGAAGCAGGTAAGGTAGTCTGGTATTCCCATCTCTTGAAGAATTTTACACAGTTTCTTGTGATCCGCACAGTCAAAGCTTTGGCATAGTCAATAAAGCAGAAGTACTTGACTTCGCATTCCAGGATGTCTGGCTCTAGGTAAGTGATCACATCATCATGATTATCTGGGTCATGAAGATCTTTTTTGTATAGTTTTGTGTATTCTTGCCACCTCTTCTAAATGTCTTCTGCCTTTGTTAGGTCCATACCATTTCTGTCCAAAAGTTCAAGCTTCACTCAAGTGTTTTAAAATCACTAAGATAATAAATTTTCTAGACTTTTAGCAGTAATACTAGATGCCAAAATACATGGAAATATATCAAAGCCTTGGGTTACTATAAATCAGAAATCAAGTATTCTATTCATACTAAAGTCTAACAAGTGGAGTTAAACCAATTTATGTGTAATCATTATTCTAGGTATCTCATATAGGTGGGTCACACATTTGTCCTTTTGCATTTGGCTATATCATTTATAGCATTGTGTTTTCAAAGTTAGTCCACATTGCACATTCATCAGAATTTCATTCTTTTTAAAGGTTGATTAATATTCCTTTGTATGGATATGTCATATTTTGTTTATGCTAATAGACATTAGAGAGTTTCCACCTTTTTGGCTACTGTGAATAATTCTGTTATTAACATTGGTGTGCAAGTATATGAGTCCCTGCTTTCAATTCTTTTGGGTATATACCTAAAACTAGAATTGCTGGTAATTCATATGGTAATTCTATATTTAACTCTGAGGAACTTCTATATTTTCTTCCTGATTCTCTTAAATACATTTTAATTCCCTGTTGAAATTACCCATTTTTTTAAAACTTATATTCTCTACCTTTGTTTTTTTCCTATATATTTGAACATGTACATAGTTATTTAAAAATCTTTTTTGGATGACAGTAATATCTAGATCATCTATGAATCTGCTTCTATTTCTTGGGTTTCGGTCATGTTGTGTTGTCTTTTGGTATGCCCTGTAATTTTGTACACGCCTCCAGAGAGGACTTCCCTTTCTTCTAGTAGGCAGATATAATGGTAACTGATCACCTTAAACCAATCAGGGGGCTGTGCTGAGTGCAGGTTTAATTGCATTTCCAGTAAAGGTCAAGCTACTTTGGGTTCATCTCCATTCCAAGAGCATAGCCCTCCAGGATTTTTAACTGAGACCCTGGGAATTCATTGAGATTTCTCCCTCTGGCAGGTTTATAGCTTTAGTCTGTATCTTGTGAGACTGCCAAAATGTCTGCTTTTCAAAGGCTTTCCAATGAGATTCTGTAAAGCCCAGGATGTGGCAAACATCCCAACAGGATGACTGCCTGTATGCTTGAGGTTCCCTTAGTGTTCTGTAAAAGCTTGCTGGTTTCTTGTCCACACAGCATAGGTCTCCCAGTATACAGTCCTGGTTCTCAGATGCCTGCTTATGCCTAGTATTAGCAAATTCCTCAAGAGAAAAAGAAGCTACAAAAGTCAGCTCACCTTTCTTGAGATTCTTTTAGCTCACCTTCAGTCTTGGGGTTCAGCCCTTTGGGATCTCAGCCCAAAGCATGGTGTACCAAGGTCCCACCCTTGGTAGAAACTGTGCTATATTTTTATCTTCACAGCCTCATAAGACTATATTTTAGGTCATATATCTCCAGGCAAACAGTTATAAAATCAAGGCTCACCTCTCCTAAATCTTATCCTTTCTCAGATCTTTTTTTTTTTTTTAATATTTATTTATATTATTTGTCTGTGCTGAATCTTACTGGCAGCACTAGTTTCTTTGATCTTTGATCTCTAGTTGTGGCATTCGAATTCTGAAGTTGTGGCACGTGGGATCTAGTTCCTTGACCAGGGATTGAACCGAGGCCCCCTGCACTGGGATCATAGAATCTTAGCCATTGGACCACCAGGGAAGTCCCCCTTTCTCAGATCTTAATCAAGTAATTCCTCACTACCTTGTTAGTTCTTTGAAGCTTTAACATATACTTTAAAAATATTTTCTCTGCCTATTTTCTTTCTTTTAAAAAAATATAATTTTATTTATTTTTGGCTGTACTGGGTCTTTGGTGTTGCTCAGGCTTTTTCTCTAGTTGCGGTGCACAGACTTCTCATTGCCGTGGCTTCTCTCGTTGCAGAGCACAGGGTCTGGGTACGTGAGCTCAGTAGTAGCAGCTCCCCGGCTCTAGAGCACAGGCTCAGTAGCTGTGAGGCACGGGCTTAGTTGCTCCACAGCATGTGGGATCTTTATGGAAGATTGAACCTGTGTCCCCTGCATTGACAGGCAGATTCTTTGCCAGTGAGTCACCAGGGAAACCCCACTGCTTTCTTTTCTAATCACACATAGAGGTACTATTTAGTACTACTGGTCTTAAAGTATTGCCAGTTTGGGTAAGTTTAAGAACATAATTCCCAAATGCAGAGAAACTACAATTTTTTTTTTAGAAAACTCATTTTCAAGTTTTAGAAAGATAACCATTAATTTATGCGAGAATTATGTTCTGCTTTCATTTCTTATCCATTAAAATGAACTTGAAAAATGAGGTACTTAAACTATAATTTCACTCATAACAGAGTATGTACCAACATATGCCTTATGTTTTAAAGGCTACTATATTAAAAACAAGATAAAACCACATCTATTTCAAATCTCTTGAAACAGTATTTCTAACATAGCCAGATGATGTTAATAAGTCTTCCTGGGAGAGTTACAGTGGGGATGGATTTTTCTCCTAATTAAATATATTTGCTTTCTTTGGAGATGCAGAACACACATTAGTATATTAAAGATCCTAAGAAGTCCTCAGTAAAGTCAACTCTTTATATTTGTTTACCTTTCTGTTTTCAAGTACATCTGATTCATGGACTACCTTTTACAGTGACTCAAGAAACCCAGTTTGAGAAAAGTGACCTTAAAAAAGGAAAATAAACATTTCAAATAGTTTTGGTTATTTATATGTTATTATAGTTGATTATATAACCTCTTTCTTCTTCACTGAAGTTGAGCTGATGAGTTTTATGGGGGGTTTTGTTAGCTTTATTAATCTATAACTTCCTTTGTCAGTCTTTTCTGACTCTGGGTAGCAGAAACAGCGTGAGCTTTCTATAGAGACAGAGTTGGGATCAAATTCTGGCTCCACCATGAAAGGCAAATTCTTCTCTCTTGTTAGTCATATTTCTTTATTTGTAAAGTGGGTTTGGGGGGCTTTCACAGGATTATTTTAAGTACTAATGACAATATGAAGTATCCAGTATACTGCTTGGCCCCAAAGTTTCCTTCTATTTTAAAAGTCCTCAAGGATCTGAACGGCCAATTGGAATGAACATAAGATTGATATCTTTCAACCTTCCTTGATTTGGGACTCTTCTTTGCTAATTAATTCCCTTGCTTCTTATATTAGTATTTCTCTTCTGACTACTTAAGAGGATGTTATACTCCTGGGGAATAATTTATTTTTATTCTAACTGACAGAATGTCTAGAGTTAACCTGATTTTTATTCTCTTAGAACTTTGGAAAGCTTCAGGTTTCCCTGTCTTATGACCCTATATAATTTGTTACTGTAATAATTATAATAATTATCTTACCATACTGTAATAATTCATTTTCTTCCCTACTAGACTCTAAGTTCATAAGGTCAGGATACCTTCTTCCCTGCTAAATGTATACACCTAGCACCACTGGCCTGTTTAAAAAGTAACCATTCAATAATTAGAACTATTAATAAGTTATAATAATTGGGATCTCAATAGTTGTTATATAAAAATATAATTCTTAGATGAATTCTTAGATGTTTTTAATATTATTTATATAGAAGATATGAGCAGAAAACAAGGAGTTAAATTTACTTATCCTCAAACATTTAAAATATAAGTGCTATGGAACCAATATTTACTACTAGAAATCTTATTCTGTTAGAGTGATTTTCCTAAGATATATACAGGAGGATAGAAATTAAATAATAAATACACATATATACTTTCTACATATATTTTCAGCATTTGAGAATGACTCCATTTATTCAAAAGATATGTTCCAGAAAGGATGGATGCAAATAACACATTCATACTGTAAATATTTAAAAATCCATCTGATTAGAGTAAACTAAACTTGAAGTGTATTTGAAAAGCAACAATCCCTCTTTGTAATAAGTATGCTCTCATACTGGTCTGTCTTACTCAGATTTCTGAATACAGAGTTTTTCAAAGTAGGGAACAGTCCTACTAATTTGGTCATATCAAAATGGTAAGAAGTTCGACACAACTCAAAATCAAGTTAACTTTTACTTTTTGAAAATAATTTTTAGTCTATGTATAAGTAATAAATATAATGCATTATTAATATAGTTTTTTAATGTGTTATTACACTTAGAATGGATAAACAACAAGGTCCTACCATATAGCACAGGGAACTATACCCAGCCTCCTGGGATAAACCATAATGGGAAATTATATATATATAAATAAAAGAATGTGTATATGTATATAACTGAGTCATGGTGCACAGCAGAGATTGGCACAATTAAATCAACTCTACTTCACCTAGAGAATAGGTTTTTCCATATACTAGAAAATAAAAAATACTTACTATTATTTTCTTACAGTCTTTTCCTCTGCATAGTTCGGTATAGGTAGAGTATTGCACATATATAATCCAGCTTCCAACAAAAACCGCCAACCAGGAAAAGAAAAGATATTTCATTCGCACATATGAGAAGCGAGCCTGTAAGTAAAAGAGCACATAACAATCAAACATTCAGCACCCAGTCAGCATTCACTGTCCTAGAACATGACTTTTCCCCCTTTCTTGGAAGCACTCAATATATATTCTAGGCTTTCATATGGCAATTCTCCTAGAACAATGTGTACTTTCACTGAGTCTAAAAAGCATTGGTCTTAGAAAAGGAAGCTCCTTGGTCTTGCCAAGAAAAAGAGAACAAAATACCCTTTAAAATGTATAATCTTTCAAATACCACCAGCATCCAAAGCTACTCATTAAGCACAAGCACGTGCACCATGCTACCCTGGACACCCAGTAAGATCAGGTAAAGAGAGACACAGTCCCCTCTTATGACAAGCTTACAGAAGACTTGTTCAAATAAGAATCTTAAAGTTCTTTATGAATAAATATGGCAAAAACAATTGTGTTTTAAAGAAATAAAAACAGGGAACTTGGCTACTAGTCTAAGTACAGTGAGGCACGACTAGAGTTAAGAAATGAAACTTCACATTCATTCCTATTTCTCTGCTGTATTCACCAATGCTTTATGTTCCTTTTATTCAATCAATCAAATGCTTCACCTAACAGATATTCTGTAAATTTGAGGGAGAGTTACAGCTACTAAAAGAGAAGAAAGATTAAGATATATAAAGAATAAATGACTCCCCACATGCCAGTTTGTAAAGCTGTACAATAAGATCCTCTTTGCCTTGCTTTGCAACTTGTGCTCTGGTGTCTAATTGCGACTCGGGTCAGTTGGTGGTTTTTCTCCATCAACCACACATCAAACAGTTTCATCTCCGAAACTGTCAGCTGGTCAAGATAATTTGACATTTATGTTTTGAGTCTGGAACTCCAATGGTCTGATTTTATAAATAACTGAATTTAGGACCATGGGGAGAATTGAGCAAAAATAAATTAAAGACATGTAGACAAATAACGAAAAGCTAGTTTTGCTTTTATAACCCCAAGTCAGTTTCTCACACTGGACAACAGTAGGATACTGTGAGCGCTGTGGGCATGCAAAGCAAGCCGAAAGAGATGAAAGAGACATAAGGGCATCTGCAGAGACAATGAGTGCAGAGGAAAAAGGGACTCAGAAATACTGAACTCTTTTGGCTTTATTTGTGGTTTAGATACCGGTCTTTGTGAGGTGAATCCCAGTACCAAAAAGCTTGAGTACAACAAATTCACAGTTAAATGATAGGTCTCTGAGTTTTATTATTAAAATGTTTTTTTAAAATGCCTTAAATGCAAGTTACTTTTATATAGCTCTAAATGAATCCAATAAAAAGAAAGTCCAGATAGATTTCCAAATTAAATCACATAAATGACCATGAGTATACACCCAGGGGTTTGTCTGAAAGACATTTAAGATTACCCGGCCCTAATAAAAGGTCTAGTCATCAGATAGAAATTGATATGTACTAGTATTACAAAGCTTAAATATTATTGAGTGACATAATGCCTACAAAACATAAGCACTTTGCTAGGCACACAGAAAATACTCAACAAATGTTAGCAAAATCAATTTGCAAGGTCCTGAACAAAAAGCCAGTAACGCTGTCATTATGATAGGCCACTGCCGTCTTTTTTGGGCTTGCCAAAAAGAAAACTGAATCTGAATCTGATTAAGCCTTTAGCTCCAACTACCAGTTTACAGGAAATACAGGAGACAGAGGCATATAAGTAACACTTAAGTAAATGACAGTATTAGGATACAATCAGCAAACTCTAGGCTGTGGGAAATGCGGCAATACAAATAACCCAGTTCTTCAACAAATAAATTACAAGGGAGAAAAGAGAGAGAAGATGAGAAAGTCAAAGATCAAAAAATACTTAAGAAATATTGTATATTAGAAAATCACATTTCGTGGATCTTTTTTGAGTCCTGATTCAAATGAAAAACTGTAAAAAAAAAAAAAATGACATTCATGAGACAATTGAAAACTTGAAGGCTGACAGGATATCTGATGCTGTAAAGGCATTATTTTAGTTTTTTAGGCATAATAATGTGATGTTTAAAGAAAAACAACTTAATCTTTTCAAGATAGACACTGAAACATTTATGAATGAAACAGTACCTGGCATTTGCTTCAAAACAATATAGGAAGGGAAAGGTAGGTGGGAAAAGTATTAAAACAACACTGGCCATAAGTTGGTAACTGTTCAAGTTGGGTGATGGTTACATGCCTTCTTTTGTACAGGTTTTTCTCTACTGATTTAACATTTTTTTATGTTGTACGATAAGGAATACTTTCATACCAAGATATCCACTTCCCACACATTCATTCAGCAACTATCTATTGTCTACTATGTGCCTGGCGCCACCTTAGGCACTTTCAGAACATTTGCATTTACAGTGACAAACAAATCCTAAATACCAGATAAGTACCCTTCACACAGTTCAGAGGGTTTCTTGGACAACAGTAGCATGGCATGATTTTACTTGTGTAAGTTCAATCTTTTGTGTGTATGTGGCCATTAGAGAAAGATTATTTAATAAAAGATAAGATAACTGTTAATCATTTGGAAATAGCATATTTAAAAACCTAAAACACATCTTACATCAAAATAAATTCCACAGGAAACTGATACACATGTAAAATATGAAATAATATAATACAAATGCAGGGATTTTTCAAAAATATTTTTTGAGATGCAAAAATTCTAAATACCAAAAAAAAAAATTCTAAATACCACAGAATCTCTAAAAGAAGACATTGACTATGTAAAAACTTTATTTATTTTTTTTTAATTTATTTATTTATTTTTTTTTTTTTATCACAACCATAGTGTATCTTTTTTTTTTTTTTTTTTTACATGTATTCCCCATCCCGGTCCCCCCTCCCACCTCCCTCTCCACCCAATCCCTCTGGGTCTTCTCAGTGCACCAGGCCCGAGCACTGTAAAAACTTTAAAGTTGTGACAAAAATCACTGTAAACAAAGCTGAAAGATAAAATGGGATGTGACAGGAGTTTTCATCATTAGATTAAGAGAGAGTAGCCAGAGGGCTCAGGACAAGAAATGAAGTCAGCAGGAGATTTGTACTCACTCCTATGATGGTGGTAGGGTTGTCATGGCTTTTCTGAAAGAGCAGTTAGCCATATACATCAAAAACTCTAAAAATTTTCATCTAGCAAATTCTACATTTAGGGATGTATCATAAGTGAAGAATTAAGTCTATACTATATACATACCCACACACACATCCCCCAACCACTCCCATGTAATATATATGACATCTTTTACACCTATTATTATAATAGCGCATTATCAGAGGCAACCAAGTTTCAGCAATCAAGAAGTTACTGAATACAATTATTGAAACCATTTTATTTTAGGAAAGCTATTTACAAGCTATTTATGGGCAACAACTTTATACTCCTAGATACCATTAAACTATGTACAATTAGAGACAGCACTGTACAAGAGCAGACAGCAGAATTAAACAGAGCAGACTTAAGGAAACATCAATCTTCATTATTTTGCCTGTTATTCATTGTGTACAAAGAGGCATGAAAGCAGTTTGAAATCTTTCAGTGGCCGTAAAGTTACAATCAACCACTTACATGAGAAGTTCGATCTTATAATATTGAGATGGGGTTTTAAAACAAGATTAATCTCAATTCGTTTAGTAAAAATTCAAGGAAGACCTTACACTGTAAAATAATATTTTCTTTTTTCCTTTTTTTACCTTGTTCTGCAGCAGGTGGAAGTCACAGAGTAAAGGAAACCACGCAGACATGGTGAGCAGGTTCTCTGCTAGCTCAGAACCTGGTCCTGTCTTACCGTCTCCTTGACACCCACCTCAAGAAGTCTAGTAACGTCAACTACCTTTGGAGTCTCCGTCAACAATTTCTATTAGCTATCAAATGCATATCAAGCTTAATAGATGTTGGCAGCAAAGACCTGTCTATTTCTCCCTCCTGCACAGCCAATTTAATAAAACTTGAAGTCATTTTGTTTTTCTCTCAAAGAGCTACATTAAATTTTCTTTCCTCTGGCATATGTTTAAATGGAAAAATACCCTGTAAACTGGCTTGCCCACTGTGTGTTCGTCAAGATACAGAATGCCAAAATTTTTGGAGAGGAAGTTGGATTGATGATGTTCCCAGCAGGGCAGTGGGCATCACCTGTTATATATAAATGACAAAAGGAATGAAACACATTTTTATTCTAGTATGTCACTGAAATTACCATGATTTGAGGGTAACACAAACTAGTATAAAGGCTTTCATGTGTCCTTTAATTTCTGCGGATCCTGTTGCCTCACATTTTAAAATAAAGATTGAAGAAAAACAGCCATAAATGACATCTGTAGCTACTGACTAATTTTATTTCCCTGTGTGGCACTCACTAAAATGTTCCCAGTGGTCTGTTCTGTATCAATTACCTAGACAATCTAGACTTTGATGAAAAAATATAGTTACAGTTTATGACCTTTTTATTGATGCTGAACTATCCAAAATACTGCCCAGAAGCAAAATTTGTTCTGCTGATTTGGGGCCTAGCTACTTCCTGGTGGCTTAGCTGGTAAAGAATCCGCCTGCCTGCAATGTAGGAGACCTGGGTTCAATCCCTGGGTTGGGAAGATTCCCTTGAGAAGGGAATGGCTACCCACTCTAGTATTCTGGCCTAGAGAATTCCATGGGCTGTATAGTCCATGGGGTCACAAAGAGTTGGGCACAACTGAGTGACTTTCACTTTCACTTTTCACTATTGGTACATTGCTTTATTCCAAATTATGCTCCTGAAAGTCATGATAAGAATTTTAGAGAATACACTTATGGCATGATTCTCAACTAGAGTCAGTTTTGCCCCCTGGGGATACCTGGCAGGGTCTAGAACCACAAAGGGTGATTGGAGTCTTGTCTGTTGAGGCCAGAAATGTTGCTAAACATCCTTCAATGCACAGGAGGGCTCCCCACATCAAAGAATTATCTGCCTAAACATCCATAGTGCTAAGGCTGAGAAAATTTGTATTATGGTTACAAAACAA